TAGAACTAGCATATAAATTTATTGTACATCATATATTGATATATTTTAGGCATATTTTAAACCATATAGACTTTAGCCTTATTTAGTCTCTGCTACAATAAGAGAAAACACAAATAACATAGACTTTTATACTGTCTTAACTATAAAGAAACTATCTTAACTATAGTCCTATAGTTTATAGGACTATAAAGAAAGCTGAGCACCAAAGAATTGATGCTTTTGAACTGTGTGTTGGAGAAGACTCTTGAGAGTTGCTTGGACTCCAAGATCAAACCAATCAACTCGAAAGGAAATAAGTACTGAATATTCATTGGAAGGACTGATGCTGAAGCTGAAACTAAAATTCTTTGGCCACCTGATGCGAAGAACTGACACATTGGAAAAGACCCTGATGCTGGGAAAGATTGAGGGTAGGAGGAGAAGGGGACGACAGAGGATGAGATGGTTGGATGGCATCACTGACTCAATGGACATGAGTTTGAGCAAGCTCTGGGAGTTGGTGATGGACAGGGAAGCCTGGCGTGCTACAGTCCATGGGGTCACAAAGAGTCAGACATGACTGAGCGACTCAACTGAACTGAACTATCTTAACAGAAAGAACGCTAGTGACAAAAGTTCCCATTATGGCTTCAGCATGGTGAGATAGGAAAATGGCAGTACTTTGAAAGGATCATGAGACCACCACTCAATATGGATGCAAAAGAAAGAGACAGAGCCGAGGTCCAAATGGTCCAAAGATCTTATCCAAAGCCCTAGATCTAATTACTTTAAACAAAGACTTATTTGGTTACAAACCCTAGAATACTCATTGAAAGGGCTGGTGCTGAATCTAAAAATACCTTGACCTCCTGATGTGAAAAGCTAACTCATTGGAAAAGACCCTGATGATGGGAAAGATTGAAGGCAAGAGGAGGGGCAGCAGAGGATGAGATGGTTGGGCGGCATCACTAACTGAAAGGACATGAGTTTGAGCAAGCTCCAGGAGATGGTGAAGGACGAGGAAGCCTGGCATGCAGTGGTTCACAGGGTCACAAAGAGTTGGAGACGACTTAGCGACTGAACAACAAACAACTTCGGATAACAGAATAAATTCAGGAACAAGAGCTCAAGGAAATTAATTAGAACCCAGATCACTGTTGAGGAGCATCATCTGGCCGCAGGGATGAAGAACAAATGGAGTTTGGGCTCAGGGGGTCCAGTGAGTGTCCACATTGGTCCAAGGATGCCCTAGAATGCTTCCAAGTGATGGCCCTTGGAACCGTCCGTCTCGGTAGAAACTCCAGAGGTGTCATAGAACAGGACCACCCTCAACAGCTGAACCGAGGGGAGTGTGTTGCTGTCAGCCCTGCGTTATATCAGCTGTAGGACAGCAGTTTTACAATGTTTGGAGCCATATATGTCTTACCTGGGTGAATAATTTTGTAGAATCAAGAAAAACATACAATTGGTGCTGCTGCATTTTTGTTTTTTTATCACATGAGGAATCACACTCATAATAGCAGAAGCAATGTTCAATCTAGAAAAAGCAGCTAAGGAAAACTAGTATTAAAAATAATCTATAATACCATCATCCAAAAATAACACTAGAAACATTTTGATATATTCATGTTCAAATTTTTTGTAATATGTCATGTATATTTTTCACTTTTTTTGAAATACAAAATTATCTTTTTGAAATGTTTTTTGAACTTTCAGTGTTCATGTTTCTATTTCTATTGAGGTATAATTGATTTATAATGTTATGTTAGTTTCAGGTGACCTAGTTATATATATATATGTGTGTGTGTGTGTGTATAGGTGTATAATATATTCTTTTCAGATTCTTTTCCCTTATAATTTACTACAAAATATTAAATATAGTTCCCCATACTATACAATAGATCCTTGTTGGTTATTTTATATATAGTAAAGAATCCACCTGCAATGTGGGGGACCTGGGCTCCATCCCTGGGTTGGGAAGATTCCCTGGAGAAGAGCATGGCAGCCCACTCCAGTGTTCTTGCCTGGATCATCCCATGGACAAAGGAGCCTGGCGAGCTACAGTCTATGGTCGCAGAGAATCAGACACGACTGACCCACTAAGTACAGTACAATGTGTGTATGTTAATCACAAACTCCTGATATATATTTTTAAATGCAAGTATATAATATATATGTTTGTGATGTCCAAAAGGTAACATTTTAGGTGCCAATAAACACAGTTCTTCAAAACTGTTAAATGGAGCACAGTCACATATCTATTATCACCATCCATCACTCAACCATCCTTTCGTTACTGGACTTGAGAAACAGTGCTTCACTAAAGATCCTACAGCTAAATCCTTGCCAACAGCTTTGATTACTTACTTGATTACTACTTAGGTCTCAAAAAGTAGGCTTCTTACTTGAAAATATGTGGGTTATTTTCAAATATCTTTTGATTTTGATTTCTAACATCATGCCACAGTGAAAAGAGGACAGACTCTGTATGATTTCAATACCTTTAGACTATGAAATTTTTGCACCTTGTTTTATGTTCCTGGATATATTCTAGTGTCTCCTGGCTCATAATCTATGGAAACCTGAATAGAATTTGTATCCTGCTGCTGTGTGAAAATTGTATAAACCTTATTTATGTTGAATTAGTTGAGTGCTTTTCAGGTCTACTCTATCCTTCTGCTTTCCTGTCTATTCATTCTATTAATTTTTGAGAGTTTATTGAAATTTCAACTAAAAATCTTAATTTATATACTTTAAAAATAATTGTAATATATGGTGGAACTATATGTAACTTTGTTCCATATTTTCCAAGTCTCCTGTAAATGTGTTATTATACTCTCATAATTTTAAAAAAATAAAAAAGAACGGACAAAAGTCGGCTCATTAAATCAAAGAATAAACACCTCTTGTGAACTTCGACTGACACCTTTTGGAAAGTCAGTTTGCTGTTGGCTATTTACAGTCTCTTTGCTTCCATCAGCCCTGGTAACAACAAAAGAAAGTAAACCCTTTTCTTCGCAGCGGAGGGCATCAGCTTGATGCTATGGTTAGTAATTTATCTCCGGCGACGTTTTCACTGTTAGATAGCAGTTTTTGTGTCAACAAAGGGACCAGGCAAAAGCTGCACCTCTGACCACAGAAATAAGAGGCAGCGACACTTCCATCCCTTTCCAAGATAAAACTACGCACATGGCAGCTCTGAGAATACATTTCCATTTATTACATATTTTTTTTAAAATTGTGGCACATTTTACAAAAGCGGACGTGCAGCCATTCAAATAAGAATTGATTCCTTTGTCTAAGTCCTTTTAACAGCACTTCAAGGGTGAAGATTCCGGCTTCGCCAGCAGAGGGCGCTGCGCAAGTGCAACCAGAGGCGGAGATGCGGCGGCGGTGCCGAGCACCGCCGACTTCTCGGCCACCTACCATAGAACCCCCGGGGGCGCGGAGGTGCGGCAACCAGCCACTCCCGCTGCCGAGGAAGGACCGGACTCGTCATCCGTCCTGGGCGTTGGGGAGTGTGGGAGAGGAGCTTGCAAAGCAGTCTGTTTCCTGAGGCCACATGTTTAGATTACTAGGGTGGGAGTGATGCTCGGAGAAAGTGAAAGTCGCTCAGTCGTGTCCGACTCGTGTCCGACCTCATGGACTATACAGTCCATGCAATTCTCCAGGCCAGAATACTGGAGTGGGTTGCCATTCCCTTCTCCAGGGGATCTTCCCAACCCAGGGATCGAACCCAGGTCTCCCGCATTGGGGGTGGATTCTTTACCAACTGAGTTACCAGGGAAGCCCTGGTGTTTGGAGGGATGGTGTCAAATTAGGAGCATCGTGGAGGGCTCCGTTTTCCTTAGCTGGGCCACTATTTTGGATCGTGGCACGTGGGAAGCCGTCACTGGGGACTGGGAGACCAGCGGGGGTCAATGCTGCTTCGGCTGGTTCTCAGGGGTGTGGCCAAAGTGGATATGTTCCATTAAAGGTACCGATTTGAGATTGAGACGCTGTCCAGGAGCCCCTGGGGTAGAAGCACATCCTTGGACAAGTCCGTGAAGTGAGGGAGGGAAGCCCAGGACCCCGGGAGTGGTTTCCTAGGAGTGAGGACCAAGTCCGAGGAGAGGTCAGCTGGGACCTCTCAAGTCTCTAAATGTGATGAGTTAAATGTCTAAAACGGACTTAGGTGAAAACACCGAGTCTAGGGCACAGCACGCTAAACTCATGAGCACTCCCAAGGGAGGAGGGGACAGAAAACTGAGCCTAACTGGGAAAATTGGGAAAACCACAAACAGGATGCATAGATTCAGGGGCCACTTGCAGCAAGGTGCTTGTTACAGGTGGGAATCTCCTGGGAGCAGACGGGGAGACAGAGTTAAGGTGAAGGATGTTTGCTAGGGAGTGTCCTCCAGACTGTGGCTGTGAAAGGAAGGGAAAGACCAGTCCGTTTTCTTCAGGTGAACTAACAAGGACGGCCCATCAGATTGCTTTTTATTGACTGAAAAGACCAACCTGGAGCTCTTCAGGTTCCCACCCGGAGCCCTTATTGGATTTGGGCCGCCCGGTGGTTGCAGGATCGTGGGTGAGGGGCTCTCAACAACTGAGGCAATCTTTGAAGACAGCAGCGGGTGCCCAGGAAAAACCCTCCTGGCCGCTGGGGCCTGGCACGGAAGTGGGCAGAGTGAATTGGGTAGCATATCTCTGTGTCCATTGAAATATATTTCCTACATGAGCCCTGAAGTTCTCACTTCCCCGTCTCCCCTAATATCTGCTGGATCGCATGATAGCATGGAGGTGCAGGCTGAGAGGAGGTGAAGAGCCCCACCCAAGAGTCCTGATCCTGCTCCAAGTTATACTCATTTTTATCACATATTATGGTATAATCACATCAGTGCAAACACAAATACGGGCTCCGTAATGGCGCTGAGTTATCCATTCTCTAGAGAAAACACTACAAAATTAATATCAGTGGAGTCCAGTATGCAACAAAAACCATGTATGAAAAATATGTGCCAGGGGGTTAATTCAAATACCGTCTGCGAGTTTCCTGGATCGTGGGACGTTTATTTTCTAAATGCACGTTCACTCTCCTGCCTCCTTGCGTGTTCGTAATTCCGTGATGTCTTTTTCAGCTCTCGTCAACGAGGACCCGAGGCGGGAGGGGCGAGGAAACCGGCCCCCGGGCAGGGTCCACGGCCAGGTTCAGGTGAAGGGCTGCCTCCCGCCCACCAACAGGCGTCGAGTCCCAGGGCAGGTCACCTGGACATCTCCGGTTCACGACAGGGGAAATCTTACTCGTCTGGCTCTACTGATGAACAGGCACCGGGCTAGCCCAAGTAGCAGCGCGCCATGAAACTCCCAGCGCGCAGCTGCAGACCGCTTCCCATACCCCCACCCCTCCTCCTCCCCTAACCGCTGCCTGGGCCCGCCACGGGCAGGGCGGGATCGGAAACGCGGGCACGGATTGGCCGGGAGGGAGAGACGCCACCTGTTTGAAAGACCCAATCAGCGATCGGCCTTTCAAGAGACAGCCAATGGGAGACTTGAGGGGCGTGTCGGAAGGGCGGGCGTAAGCTATTTGAATCGCTACGCGGGCCGATGTTCCCTGTTCGGCTTCCTGCTGGAGTGGGTCTCAGGATTCTGCGCCATGGAGGGCGAGGTCCTGGCGGAGGACGAGCTGCTGCGGAAGCTCAGGGACAGCCGCTGCCGCTTCCAGAGGCGCATGCAGCAGTTGATAGAGAAGGTGCGGCCCCTCCCGCTAGCGGGATGGAGGGGGAAGGAGGAGGCAGGGACCNCTAGTTCCCTTGAACCTATCAATCACTTGAATTATCTATTTCCAACAGTTACCTATGAAGACAGAATTCCGATGACACATAGATGCATCCTGGTTAAAAATGCGCTTGTCTGGGTTTGGCATCCCTGCTGGTCATTTAATAGCCATCTCAGCTTGGGCTCATTGCTTTAGCCAGATTGTGAGTTGGTTTCTTCATCTGTAAAGTGGAAAGATAATGACAGTAACAGCTGCTTGGCTAGATATTGTGATAGTTACAGCAGATGGAGCCTGGCACTAGTGAACACTCTATTGACTGTTATTTGACCTGTTTGATTTGAGGTTCTGAGTACTTTGGAATTTGACCTGCATCTAAGGAGAAGCCATCCTGTTTGATGGTTGATGTTGCAAACAGACTTAAATCATTTATTCTCTTGGGTAAATAGCTGGAAAAAGTTTGCACTGGGTGAGGTCAGTGTCTATCATTCAGCCTTGTGCATCCGTGCTGAGTTGCTTCAGCCGTGTCCAACTCTTTGCAACCCTGTGGACTGTAGCCCGCCCGGCTTCTCTGTCCATGGGATTCTCCAGGCAAGAATACTGGAGTGGGTTGCCATGTCATCCTCCAGGGGATCTTCCTGACCCAGGGATTGAACCCACGTCTCCTGTGTTGCCTGCATTGCAGGCAGATTCATTACTGCTGAGCCACCCAGGAAGCCCTTCAGCCTTATTACTGACTCAATTTTACCTACTAATGAAAGTGAATCTTAGAGCCTGTTCTGGGCAGACAGACACAAATCAGTTCCTGATGAAATGGAATCCTAGCTCTGCTTTCTTAGCTGGACCAGACACACCCTAGGTGAGAAGTCTTTATAGTCAGAAGCTAATGTATTCCAACGGTAAGTTTTGTTCATCTGGCCTGTGTCTAACCTGAAGGCTGGACACAGGAGTATGTAGAAATCATCCCTAAGTGTGCTATCAACAGGCTTTTTAGTGTGTTCCCTTGACCTGTTTATGGAGGGATGGGCAGTGTCTGGAATATTTTGCTCACTCCACGTATCTTGAACATCACTAATTTCACCAGTGAAAACTCATTTCGAACTCCAGTTAGATAAAAACAAGAATGGTAGCCATAGCAGGAAGCACATTAGCATGTGGAAGACCTGGAGGGCTTGTACAAACAGATTCACTGACAGTGATGCTAAATGTGAATTCAGTGGTTCTGTGTTCCTACAGACTCCTAGCTGATGGGAGCACAGCTCCCCTGACCTGTAGCTTTCCCTGGGAGGTATTCAGGGAGTGGTCTTCCTGATTACGTGCTAGCTGACCACCCTTGCAGGGCTCCCTGTAATTTAAAGCAAGTTCCAGTCTACACTGTAGGGTAAGCTTCTAACAGTCACAGGTTTTTGATTCTCAACAACCCTGCGAGGTAGGCACTATTAGGATTGTTGTTTCATGGAAGAGATTACAGCAGAGAGAAGTCAAGGAACTTGCCCGTGTCACTCAGCCAAAGTAGCAAAGATTTGATTTGAGTCCAAGCATCTCTATTCAGGGATCACTCTGTTCTGGAAAGGCCAAAAAGCATAGTAGAGAGTCACTCCCCCTGGGTTCCCAGCCTGGCCACACCACGAGGACAAATAGCCTGGGCTGGTTATTTCACTTTTTCCTCGCCTCTGTCTCCATCTATACAGTGAACTTGATGAGTGTCTATCCAGAGGAATTAGAAGTAGCGTACAAGGTGTGTGTCTGTGAGTTGTGAACGCTGAATGGGGTGTACTTGGAGAAGGTTTAGACTAGAGCCTGGAACAGTTAAGCCCCAAGTGAATTTTTGCAGCTGTTATCAACAACCATCTCAAACCTCTCAACTCAGTGATCCATTCTTTATTAATTTGAATTTACCTAGGAGCCAGTGGAGATTTGGGGAGTATCTTGCCCAGATTCTGCTGGCTAGTAAGTGCAGGGCTCCAAAACTCAGCATTTACTCCTGTGCCTATGACTTGTTCTATAATGTGTAGATTGCCCCAAGAAAGCACTTATTCTGTCCATGGAGTAGAAAGTTAGCCCTTAAAAAGTGCTTTTAGTATCTCTTGCTCTCTGTAGTATATAGATTGCTCTCAATATATGTGTTTTGAGGACAGTGCTTGGCATACGTATGTTCCTTGTTTCTGCTTCATTTCTGGCTTAATCCTGGGTTCAACGAGCTGCTCCCTACAGGCAGGAGAGATTTTCATTCATGATAAATTTGTCAGGTGTGGATTTTTGAAATCTCACAGAGATGAGATTTTCATCTTTGAGACTTTCAACCTCACGAAGATGAGAAACAAGAGAATGTCAGTAATGTGACTTAGTTATATCTTGATCTTATTAGATCTTTCCTTTGCCTGTCCCTTAGGTTTCCTTTGAGTACAAATTAAGCTGAAGCTCAGTGTTCATGATGACCTAAGTGGTAATTACTATTTGTTTTTTTTTTAAGGATTGCGAATTTGGGGTGGAAGACTAGTGAAGAGTAGCAGCACAGGACGCATGCAGGTAATTAACGTCGTTTTATTGCCAGCATGCCTTGCTGGAGAGGAAGGTTGATGTGAATAAAGGTGGAGATGAGCTGGAACTGCACCCAGGGGCCACTGGGGGGCGTTGTTCCCTGGTTTTCTCACCTTGTGTTCTTAGTCGCTCAGCCGTGTCCAACTCGCAACCCTGTGGACTGCAGCCCTCCAGGCTCCTCCATCCATGGGGATTCTCCAGGCAAGAATACTGGAGTGGGTAACCTATTCCTTCTCCAAGGGAACTTGCCAACCCCTTCCCTGGTAGCTCAGAGGTTAAAGCGTCTGCCTGCAACGCAGGAGACCTGGGTTAGATCCCTGGGTTGGGAAGATCCCCTGGAGAAGGAAACGGCAACCCACTCCAGTATTCTTGCCTGGAGAATCCCATGGACGGAGGAGCCTGGTGGGCTACAGTCCACAGGGTCGCAAAGAGTCGGATACGACTGAGCGACTTCACTCACTCCTACATTGCAGACGGATTCTTTGCCAGCTGAGACTCGGGATGGAACCAGGGTCTCCTGCATTGCAGGCAGATTCTTTTAGGGTCTGAGCCACCACGGAAGCCCCTTTCTCACGTTACCTGCCCTGATTTCTTGTGTGTAAGGATTTAATGAGACGCATGTCTTCTGCAACTGTGACGCCTCCAGACACAGGACAGCTCCGGAAACTCCATCAGGTCTCACCTCTCCTGAGGCTAAGGCAGTGACATTCCCGAGGCAGAGTTCACAGACATCTAGGAGGTGATGCCCCAGGCCTGCTCTTAAAGGGACAGGCCTTGCTGTGTTCTCATTCTGGTTCTTGCAAAGCTAGGTGGGCCTAAAAGATTTTAGACAATCCAGCATCTTGAATTCTCAAATTTCCCTAACAAGAGCCCATCCATGGCATTAGTTATGGGTACTAGCAAGGCTTGGAGAGGGGAATGGCAGTCCACTCCAGTATTCTTGCCTGGAGAATCCCATGGACAGAGAAGCCTGGCGGGCTCCACTCCATGGGGTCGCAAAGAGTCCGACACGACTGAGTGACTAATGCAGCGCAATACAACTAGAAAGGCTGGTGGGCAGATCAGGCTCTCAGGGGGGCGGGCGGGGAATGTACCACCTCCTTGGGGCTGGCCTGCTGACCATGCCACAGCCTGAGTCCTGGTCAAGACAGCTGACTGCCCTGTAGCCGGATTCAGCTGGAAGGCGACTCCACGCCAGGGTCCCACTACACACTGAAGCTTTTAAACGAATTGTAGCCTTTACAACATGGAGATCCGGTCACTGTTAAGATAAAAAGTCACATAAAGTCCCCCAGGGGCCTCTGGAGTTTCCAGCTTCTACCTGAGGATCTGGGGACTGTGCTGTCCTGTGTGGTTTTGGCCCCGAGCTTACCGCCATGCCAGGGCCGAGCTAGACCTGGTCATTCTCACTTTCCTGCTCCCATAACTCACCGTCCAAGTGGTTTCTGAGACAGCAGCCCTGGGCACCACTAGAGGAAGAAAGCTCTGTTCCTTCTCCAAGGGGAAGCTCAACTATCTGCTAGGAGTCTTGAGGCCTTTGATGCTGGAATGTTCTAGAAGAGAAACCCCTGGCAAACTGCCTTTTCTCTCATACACTAAACGGGGGTGTCAGAGGTGTTTTACTTGACAGTGGCTTTGAAATACGTTGCGTCTGAACCAAGCTTATCTTGTCAAGGTCTCTCCGGTGAAGACGGACGGCAGGACAGAAGGGCCCGTGCAAGTCCCAGCCGGAGATCTCGAGCTGTCCCCACCCAACACACCAGCCGACAGTGAGTGGTCCTGGTGCTGGAAAGCCGGGTCGGGGTGGGGGGACTCATGGCGGGACGTGTGTCTCTGTCTGCCTCCACACTCCAAGTCCAAGGCTCCTCGCTAGGACTTTCCCCAAGTGTATTTGAAAAACTAAAACCTTTGAAAAGTCCCTTGGTGGTTCCTTCTCAACTCATCCATGGAGCCATCTCACTCACAGTTACAGCGTGGTGCTGGACACAGAAAGACCTCAGAGATGTTTGCTCATGGGTGTCATTGGTTTACCGGTATTAATCCAGATTTCAACTCCATAAAGCCTTAGGTCCCCGAA